CAGTTCTGTGGAATCCAGGAGATCTTTGGTGAGGAAATCTTGCAACATGCAAGGAAGTTCTGCAAGGATCACATCAATTTGAAGCCAACCCTCTGGAAAACATACCATAGGCATAGATCCATCCCATCCCATAATTTTGAAAAGAAAGCTATCAGCCAATGAGGTCAGTCTATGAAGCCTGGCTTAGATGCCTGTTAGGCCTTCTGTAATTTACTATATCTGGTGGTCTACCTCCTATACTGGGAATAGAATTTGTCAAGGAATTCTGCTGGCTAAATTTGTCAAGGTTGTCTGCTGGCTACATAACATCTGGAGCATTAGGTATTTTCAGGTAACTGCTATCCAACTACTGAACTCACAGGAATGTTCTGAATTGCCCATAAAGCCAAGAATATGGTTGTGAGGCAAGTTTGCAAGGCATCTTTTCATCCTAGCACCGGCCGCTGAAATACCGTTTGGACCACTCTTGGTCAGGATTTTAGACAGAGGGTCAATTCAGACATCTACTAACTCAATCCTTTTTATTGCAGTTGCTGGGATTTGAATCTGGGAACTTCTGCTTGAAAGTATGTGCAGTATAGTTATCTCTTTATGCAGTACGAAGATCATGATGAAGGCATCAAAGATTCGCTCATCTAAGAACTTTCTATCAGCTTGTAAGCTGAAGATGGAAAGGATGGAAAGGTTCCATTGCAACTGCTATTAAATTGTGAACATCTTCAGTGGAATAAGAAACAGAACAATAGAGTGGGCCAAGCCAATGAGTTCTTCTAATCTGTGATGGTATGTGGGATGACCTTGGGAGACAGGAGGAAGACCCACTGCCTAGGCTGCAGGTCTTCTTCCTGTCTCCCAAGGCCATTCCCATATACCATCACATAATCTTATTATCACTATAGTCAGAGGAGATATTCTTAAAATTCTCCTACATGCTTGGGCTACCTGAGATGTCCTACTCTTCACAATTTCAGTTGTGATGCCTGACAGTTGCAGATATAGGTTTGTGAAACATGGAAGGCTATTTAACCTTAGCAACTAGAATACCTAGAATTCCTTTGTAGCTATTGCAGGGTTCCTGATGAAAACCAGAAATACAGTGGTACCTCGGGTTACGAACTTAATTCGTTCCGTGACTCTGGTCGCAGCCCGA